TTGGTGTCATTACTCTAAATTTTAATGCTGACCCTCTGTATAAATAGCAAAGATTTTATATTTTAATTAATATGATAGTAAATAATTAAACTCTACTTTATGGAAAAGATAGCTCCAGTATTAAATATTAATTACAGTTCATTTCTATATGTATTATAGGAAGGGAATATCTTAATTATTATGCCGCATGCCAGCCGCATTTATAATGCGACAAATCATGCAAAAACAACCCTTCAACTTTTCCATTGTTGGCATATTAACCCCTGAATCGATTTTAACAGCATGCAGCCCCCAGCCCCCTGAACTCTTTGACAATGGCAAATGAGCCATTCCTAGACGTATGTTATCATTATTCCGTCAACAACCAACAGAGTCTTCATTAAAGTGGGGTTCCATGTCTAAGCTGGCCATTACATGGCCTTTTTGTTGGGTAACAAAGGAAGTGGGACGTATTTCAAAAAAAAAGAAAAGAAAAGAACAATTCTACTTCCTAAATAACTTTTACATTGCTTCAAATTTATAAAATATGCCACTCTCATATAATTAAATATCTATATCAAAATTTTCCCCAATAATCTATTAAATTAAAATGATAATAAATGAAACTAAAATTTTAATTAAATCCATAACTTAACATAAGTCATATTATTTAAAATATTAAAAATTAAACTTTATATTATTTAATAATTAATTTTTTTTCACTTTATTAAAACTTATGATATTATTTATATCAATTTATTTAATAACTTAACTTATATCATATTATTGATCCTAAATTTTTGCCCCTTTTTCATCCTATGTATCACTTCTCATTAAACTAATTTATCAATCTCAATCAAAAATAAATGAAAAATGATATTCAAAAACAAGTCATTAAATTAATAACAAAAAGTATTTAGAAAAATTAAATTAGTTTTACTTATACACAATGTTTCCTTCTCTTAAAACCAAACCATGGAGAAAAAAATGACGATATTCCGATTTTTTAGTCAATTTCTTAATTTTTTGCATCTCACAGCTAACAATCAATAATCAATTAACTAATTGTAAACTTAATCAAGAATCTAAAAAAAAAAAAAAGAAACTCATTTAATAAAAGTGGGTGAATTTTAATTGTAAATTATAAAATAGACGAGTTTTAATACTTCTAACGCTCACAAATTCAGAGAAAATCAGAATATTTGAGTTTCATTAGCACTGTACAAACTGCCATTTATTGGGAAATGCATCAAAAAGCAAAACAAAGGAAGAAAACAGAACCCAAAAAATTTATTTAAAACATTTTTTGTTTTATTAAAAAAAAATTTTAACCAGAACAAATGAGATAGGTGCTATGTTGTTTCTTGCTCAACGATGATAGAGTAACACATAACCACCTTAGTTTTTAATGGAATAATGATATCATCCGTTAGGGGTGTTTACGGTATGATTTGGTTCAAATTTTAATATTTTTAAAACTAATTTAATTTAATTTGTTAATAAAATTTTTAAACTAATTCAATCCACTATTATATGATAACCAAATCAATTCAACTTAAATCGGATCGATGTGATTCAGTCAGATTGATCAGTTTTTAATATTATTAAATATATAAGATAATATAAAAATATTTTAACATAAAATAAAAAGCATAACCATAAAACACATTAGCATGCAAATCAGTAAAAACATAATAGAAAGTACGAATTCTTATACTCCTTTACATTTGTAAAAACTGAAAAGATCTAAAAGTTCTTCGTGGTTACACCATTAGAGATACAAAGAACAATAAAAGATGATTTCAAATTTATAGCATAGTGTAAATAATTCTTAAATATTTAAATTAGTTTTTTTCTTAATGCACTGATAATTTAATCTCATCTTTTAAATTCTATTAAAAGTAAATAAAATTTAACATGAATATCACTAAAGTTGATTAGAAGCATTCATAATCAAAATTTAAAACTTCTAAACCAAATATCTAAGAATAGTTGAATATCAAGACTAATTTTATTATATAGTTTTAAGACTTTTAGAATAATATTTATTTAAAATTTAGTTAGGAGAATCATAAGATTATTTTAAGAATAAATTAGAAATTTAGCGTTCTAGGAGTAAATGTGTAAACCAGTTCTGAAGGGATAGGGTTGCAGGTGAATTAAAAATTTAGAATTAGGGTTAAAGTGCATGATTAAAATGAAAAAATAACTTAGGGAATATGGAGATATTTTATTTTTATTTTTTAATTAAGTTAATGGAGTTATTATCTTGTAAAATAAGAAAAAAAAATTTTAAATA